ATCACATTATTGTGTGCATGTAACCGTACTCAGTGTTACACCAATAGTAACTAGAAGACATTGAACTCTACAATAGGAAGAAGTAGAAAAAAATAAAAATAAAATGTATTCACTAACTGTAAGTCGCTCTGGATAAGAGCGTCTGCTAAATGACTAAAATGTAAAAAAAAAAAAAATGTAAATGTAGAAGTAGCAGTTCCAGGTATTTATTTACCGGTGCTGGTTGACCCCTTGGGCTCACAGGCTGCATCGTCATAGGGACAGTTGCCGCGGACGATGCCGGAATTATGCCGCTTGAATGGACCGTTGACCTCTGGGAAGTCCTGTTGGGGGAGACCGTCTCCACTGCCCTTAGCACTCTCTGTCTCCGACACTGGACACACACACACAGATATGCAATTAGTACAATCACACCAACAAATACTCCTGAGATAAGAACGTCAAAGAATGTACATGCAATCATCAAGCCTTTTATGTTGAGATAACGGATCATATTTACTATATAGACCTGAAGAGATGATGCTGACAGCATCGTGGGACAGACAGACAGACCAGACACAGACACAGACACAGACACACACACACACACACACACACACACACACACACACTAGACCTCCACCAGAGAGCAGCAGAGAGACTAGACCTCCACCAGAGGGCAGCAGAGAGACTAGACCTCCACCAGAGGGCAGCAGAGAGACTCTGAAGAGCAGACCGCTCTAGCTGTAGCATCAACGTTCAGCATGGATGCAGCAGGGGGGGGGATCTAACAGAAGATCTATAACTCCATAGCAACACTCACAGGAGCTGCAGTCCCTCTCTTTCTTGTTGTCCTTGTCCTGGGTACTGTCCCTGCCCCTGTCCAGTGGGGTGGGCCCTCCTCTACGCACCTCTTCTTTAGATAGGGAGTTATACCCCAGGTCTGACTGGTCACCTGGAGGAAGGAGGGAGTGGAGAGAGATAGTTAGTGCACTTCTAACCACAACTGGCTACTCCAAGAGACGCCTCTTTCCTCATTTAAAACACTTAAATTGAGCTACTCTAACACTGTTCCCTAGAACCAAACAATTAGGAATGGTTGACTGCTCCGCTCTAGCGTTGAGTTGAGTATTCTGTCCTACCACTTCTTAGCTGGTTGGTCTCACGCTGTGCTGAGTACAGCATGCTGCGGGAGATCAACGGAACACACTATAGTTTCCTACTTTCATCTCCTCATCTCTCGAGGCCCATCACTGTTGCAGTGAGAGAGGTAACGTGTATAGATGCACAGTAAAGATACAGAACTCTACTGCAGTTTGACATGATGTACTGTACTGATGCTGTGGAGGAGAGATCTGACGATCTCAGTATCTATTTCAGTTCTCTTACTCTACCTCACATACCGGAACACTTCAATGAAAAGCCCGGGAGTTTATTTGCTTAAAATCACTAAATATAACAGGCGCTTATTAGAAACAGGACATTTTTTGTTGTTGTTGTCATTACTGAATTATTAAATGTAACAAATCAAACATTAAACCTCGTAAACAATATATGGTAATTCTTGGTAACCTCATAAACAATTCATTTAGACGTTTATTTGCTGAAATGTGTGCCGTTGCACGGCTATTAAATGGTATAGGTGGCTATTTGAGACTGTGTTCAGTTGAAGTTTTATGGTTTTGTCAATCTTGATTTCCCTCTCTCTCTCTCTCTCTTTCTCTCCCTCACATTTCTTACAAGCTCACATTCACTCCCGTCTCTCAATTTCTAACTGCAGAAAGAAAGAAAGAAAGAAAGAAAGAAAGAAAGAAAGAAAGAAAGAAAGAAAGAAAGAAAGAAAGAAAGAAAGAAAGAAAGAAAGAAAGAAAGAAAGAAAGAAAGAAAGAAAGAAAGAAAGAAAGAAAGAAAGAAAGAGAGGGTGCGAGAGAGAGAGAGAGAGAGAGAGAGAACGTTTGTCTCTCCTGGCCACCAGCTAGCTGTCTGATCTGAGTCTTTCATCTTTCCCATGATCCTCCCTGCCTGCCTCTCTGTCGTTTGTGAATAAAACATGAATCTTTACCCCGACCGGGCTTGTATGAATCTATACTGAACAAAAATATAAATGCAAGATGCAACAAGATTTTACTGAGTTACAGTTCATATAAGAAAATCAGCCAAACACTTTACACCTTGCATTTATATATTTTTTTATATCTCTATGTCTCTCTCTCGCTCGGTCTCTCTCTCGCTCGGTCTCTCTCTCGCTCGGTCTCTCTCTCTCTCTCTGTCTCTCGCTCTATGATAAGATGGTAACTTGTGAAACTAACTCCCTTAATGAGCAACACGACCCTACACCCAACCCTCAGACTGCCCTACTGAACTACAACACAGTACCTCTGCTTCCAGAGACTTCTGGAGTGTAGTGATCTGTATCATCTAAACCAGGGGTGTCAAACACACGGCCCGGCCCGCGAACCCATTCAATCTGGCCCGCAGGGGGTTTGAGTAAAAAACTATCTGGGGAAAACGATCTCAGTTGACATTGAAATGACTAAAACCAAATGAAAACTGTAAAAATAATAATGGACCTACATTTATAGTCTCTTCACTCTGTCCAGCTTGATAACAGTCATTTATAGTCTCTTCACTCTGTCCAGCTTGATAACAGTCATTTATAGTCTCTTCACTCTGTCCAGCTTGATAACAGTCATTTATAGTCTCTTCACTGTGTCCAGCTTGATAACAGTCATTTATAGTCTCTTCACTGTGTCCAGCTTGATAACAGTCATTTATAGTCTCTTCACTCTGTCCAGCTTGATAACAGTCATTTATAGTCTCTTCACTGTGTCCAGCTTGATAACAGTCATTTATAGTCTCTTCACTCTGTCCAGCTTGATAACAGTCATTTATAGTCTCTTCACTCTGTCCAGCTTGATAACAGTCATTTATAGTCTCTTCACTCTGTCCAGCTTGATAACAGTCATTTATAGTCTCTTCACTCTGTCCAGCTTGATAACAGTCATTTATAGTCTCTTCACTCTGTCCAGCTTGATAACAGTCATTTATAGTCTCTTCACTGTGTCCAGCTTGATAACAGTCATTTATAGTCTCTTCACTCTGTCCAGCTTGATAATAGTCATTTATAGTCTCTTCACTGTGTCCAGCTTGATAACAGTCATTTATAGTCTCTTCACTCTGTCCAGCTTGATAACAGTCATTTATAGTCTCTTCACTCTGTCCAGCTTGATAACAGTCATTTATAGTCTCTTCACTCTGTCCAGCTTGATAACAGTCATTTATAGTCTCTTCACTCTGTCCAGCTTGATAACAGTCATTTATAGTCTCTTCACTCTGTCCAGCTTGATAACAGTCATTTATAGTCTCTTCACTCTGTCCAGCTTGATAACAGTCATTTATAGTCTCTTCACTCTGTCCAGCTTGATAACAGTCATTTATAGTCTCTTCACTCTGTCCAGCTTGATAACAGTCATTTATAGTCTCTTCACTCTGTCCAGCTTGATAACAGTCATCAAAATGAACGCTAGACAGTCAGGGAGAATCGAAAATTCAAAAAGCGATGGATATGGGACAATTTTTTGCAAATGTTGACAGCGAGGACATCTTACAAATTTTAAGTGCGGCTCTCCAGTCATCGGTGAAGACCGAATACGGACTGAGAGGCAAAATGAGTTCGACACCCCCGATCTAAAACAACATTCCGCTTTAAAAGTGAAAGAGAGGAAAACCTCAAATAGAGAGAGGTGAGTAAAGGGAGGAGTGCAGAGAGGACACAGTGGAGGAGGTGAAGAGTGGACGGAGAGAGAAAGATAGCCAGAGAGACAGAACTAGACATAGAGCGAGCCAGAGAAAGATAGCCAGAGAGACAGAACTAGACATAGAGCGAGATAGCCAGAGAGACAGAACTAGACATAGAGCGAGCCAGAGAAAGATAGCCAGAGAGACAGAACTAGACATAGAGCGAGCCAGAGAAAGATAGCCAGAGAGACAGAACTAGACATAGAGTGAGCCAGAGAAAGATAGCCAGAGAGACAGAACTAGACATAGAGCGAGCCAGAGAGACAGAACTAGACATAGAGCGAGCCAGAGAAAGATAGCCAGAGAGACAGAACTAGACATAGAGCGAGCCAGAGAAAGATAGCCAGAGAGACAGAACTAGACATAGAGCGAGCCAGAGAAAGATAGCCAGAGAGACAGAACTAGACATAGAGCGAGCCAGAGAAAGATAGCCAGAGAGACAGAACTAGACAGAGCGAGCCAGAGAAAGATAGCCAGAGAGACAGAACTAGACATAGAGCGAGCCAGAGAAAGATAGCCAGAGAGACAGAACTAGACATAGAGCGAGCCAGAGAAAGATAGCCAGAGAGACAGAACTAGACAGAGCGAGCCAGAGAAAGATAGCCAGAGAGACAGAACTAGACATAGAGCGAGCCAGAGAAAGATAGCCAGAGAGACAGAACTAGACATAGAGCGAGATAGCCAGAGAGACAGAACTAGACATAGAGCGAGCCAGAGAAAGATAGCCAGAGAGACAGAACTAGACATAGAGCGAGCCAGAGAAAGATAGCCAGAGAGACAGAACTAGACATAGAGTGAGCCAGAGAAAGATAGCCAGAGAGACAGAACTAGACATAGAGCGAGCCAGAGAAAGATAGCCAGAGAGACAGAACTAGACATAGAGCGAGCCAGAGAAAGATAGCCAGAGAGAGAGGCCCAGAGAGAGAGAGGTAGAGAACGATAGTGAGAGAGAGAAGTTAGAGAGACAGAGAGCAAGAGAGAGGGTGAACGAGAGAGAAAGAGAGGGTATAAGCGAGAGAGAGAGAGAGTGAAAGAGACATAGACTGAGGTCGAGAGACACTGAGAAAGGGACAGAGTATCAGAGAGAGGTGTAGGTAGTGAAAGAGAGAGAGCCCAAAAGAGAGAGGTATCCTGAAAGAGAGAGAGAGTGAAAGAGAGTGAGGTCATACTTTTACCTGAGTGGCGGGGGGAGTGGAGGTCAGAACCCCCCCAGTGTGAGTGACCCGACCGGATGTCCGACCCCACACCGCCCCAGTCCCCGCGGCTGACTGCATGCACGGGCACACACAGCACCGACAGGCAGGGAGGGAGGGAGGGAGGGAGGGAGGGAGGGGGCAGTTAGGTAGGGGGACAGCAGAGCAACCATAGTGAAGGAGAAAAACATTGAGACAACAAGCCGTGAATGAAGACAGACAGACAGGAAGGGTGTAAGGGAGGAAGGAGCAGGCAGAGAAAGGAGGAGGGAGAGAGCAGGGAGCAGGTGGAGCAATGAGGAGGGAGAGAGCAGGGAGCAGGTGGAGCAATGAGAGAGGAGGGGAAAAAAGACGTGTCAGACTGAGAAAAGGTGTAATAAAGATGGCGGCCCCCGTGAGGCGTAGTCGGCAGCCATTTTGGGGTGTACCTGTGCTACGCCTATCGTCAGTGGGGTCTACTTTGATGGAGTCGGTGGCGTAGGGCCCCTGCTCGGCCGTGTTAGTGTCGGCAGAGCTATCCAGGCTGCCGTGACTCACAGCGTCCAGGTCGCTGCCATCTGCCCAAAGACAACAAGGCGTTAAGAGAAACCCGGACACCATTTTGGCTCCTCAAAAACAACAAGGTGTTAAGGGCTGAATTACTTTTTATGTGATGGTTCTTCAGCGAGAAATATGTAGCCTAAATCAATGTGTCTGTGAGGGATTTGCAACTTTCAGTGAAAACCAATATTCTGTGAGGGATGCGTGTGAAGCAAGTGACCTTCTCTACAGGCGTCTGTGAAGCGCAGCAAGGAGTGGTCCACGGGCTGGATATCAACACAGTCTGGGGCCGTCCGGCTTTAGACCAAGTTAAATATTATGGACTGGAACTGTAGTGTGTGTGTGTGTGTGTGTGTGTGTGCCAAGACACCTTTAACCCAGATCCAAGTGGGTCAGTGAATTGAAGCAACAGTGTTATAGGTCACTAGAGGACTACAGTGTTTTATAGGTCACTGGAGGACTACAGTGTTTTATAGGTCACTAGAGGACTACAGTGTTTTATAGGTCACTGGAGGACTACAGTGTTTTATAGGTCACTGGAGGACTACAGTGTTTTATAGGTCACTAGAGGACTACAGTGTTTTTAGGTCACTGGAGGACTACAGTGTTTTATAGGTCACTGGAGGACTACAGTGTTTTATAGGTCACTGGAGGACTACAGTGTTTTATAGGTCACTGGAGGACTACAGTGTTTTATAGGTCACTGGAGGACTACAGTGTTTTATAGGTCACTGGAGGACTACAGTGTTTTATAGGTCACTGGAGGACTACAGTGTTTTATAGGTCACTGGAGGACTACAGTGTTTTATAGGTCACTAGAGGACTACAGTGTTTTTAGGTCACTGGAGGACTACAGTGTTTTATAGGTCACTGGAGGACTACAGTGTTTTATAGGTCACTGGAGGACTACAGTGTTTTATAGGTCACTGGAGGACTACAGTGTTTTATAGGTCACTGGAGGACTACAGTGTTTTATAGGTCACTGGAGGACTACAGTGTTTTATAGGTCACTGGAGGACTACAGTCTGTTATAGGTCACTGGAGGACTACAGTGTTTTATAGGTCACTGGAGGACTACAGTGTTTTATAGGTCACTGGAGGACTACAGTGTTTTATAGGTCACTGGAGGACTACAGTCTGTTATAGGTCACTAGAGGACTACAGTCTGTTATAGGTCACTGTAGGACTACAGTCTGTTATAGGTCACTGTAGGACTACAGTCTGTTATAGGTCACTGTAGGACTACAGTCTGTTATAGATCACTAGAGGACTACAGTGTTTTCTTTATAGCTCACTAGGCAGGGTTTCCCAACCCTCTCCTCGGCCCCCCCAGACATTTCACATGTTTTTTTTTTACCCTAAACTGGCACACCTAATCATCAAGCCTTTGACTAAATGAATCAGGTGTACCAGTTTAGGGTTAAAACTAAAAAGTGAAAGGTCTGGAAGGGCCCGAGGAGAGGGTTGGGAACCCCTGCTCTAGAGAACTAGAGGGTCTGGGAGGGCCCGAGGAGAGGGTTGGGAAACCCTGCTCTAGAGAACTAGAGGGTCTGGGAGGGCCCGAGGAGAGGGTTGGGAAACCCTGCTCTAGAGAACTAGAGGGTCTGGAAGGGCCCGAGGAGAGGGTTGGGAAACCCTGCTCTAGAGAACTAGAGGGTCTGGAAGGGCCCGAGGAGAGGGTTGGGAACCCCTGCTCTAGAGAACTAGAGGGTCTGGGAGGGCCCGAGGAGAGGGTTGGGAAACCCTGCTCTAGAGAACTAGAGGGTCTGGAAGGGCCCGAGGAGAGGGTTGGGAAACCCTGCTCTAGAGAACTAGAGGGTCTGGAAGGGCCCGAGGAGAGGGTTGGGAACCCCTGCTCTAGAGAACTAGAGGGTCTGGAAGGGCCCGAGGAGAGGGTTGGGAAACCCTGCTCTAGAGAACTAGAGGGTCTGGAAGGGCCCGAGGAGAGGGTTGGGAAACCCTGCTCTAGAGAACTAGAGGGTCTGGAAGGGCCCGAGGAGAGGGTTGGGAACCCCTGCTCTAGAGAACTAGAGGCCTGGTCATGGCTGACCTGGAGGTGTGCTGGTGCCAATACAAATTCACTGCACATGGAGAGAAGATAGAGGAACTTTTGACAGAATTATTTTCTGAGTTCTAAGTTCTGCCAGACAGCACCACGCCTCAAAGGGTGTGCAAGGTGAGTGTGTATTTAATGTATTCTGATCTGAAGGTTTAATCTGAATCTGTTATATCTAATGTGATGAGTGATGTATTGTATTATGTATGTGCTATACAGTATGTGTCTGAAACGACAGACACCTCTCACATTGCTCTTTCAGACACATTCACTCTTACAGCTTCACATCAGATCCAAACCAAACACATACATTTCATAAAGAAGCATGCACAGTTGTCTTGTCTGTCAGACAACTCAACAACCTCACAAAAACCTCACAACAGTGTTAAATTCACAGCACTTCACGATCACAACCTAAGCCCGTCACTCTGATGGGCTTAGGCTGCATCGTCATGGTTACCTGACAGAGGGCTCGGAGTGGGTGGAGCCTGCTGTTTCCGTAGCGCCTGTCTGAACTGAGCCACACCCATAACCACGTTCCTCAGCTTCATCCACATGAAGTAACCTCCTCTGGTACTGGAGGGCCAGGTAGACTCTAACACCGCCTGGAACAGGAGGAGGAGGACAGGAGGAGTGGAGAGGAGGAGGAGGAGGAGGAGGAGGAGGAGGACAGGAGGAGTGGAGAGGAGGATGTTGATGAACTTCCTCACCGACAGACCAGGCTAAAATAACTTCCTCACCGACAGACCAGGCTAAAATAACTTCCCCACCGACAGACCAGGCTAAAATAACTTCCCCACCGACAGACCAGGCTAAAATAACTTCCCCACCGACAGACCAGGCTAAAATAACTTCCCCACCGACAGACTAGGCTAAAATAACTTCCTCACCGACAGACCAGGCTAAAATAACTCCTCCACCGACAGACCAGGCTAAAATAACTCCCTCACCGACAGACTAGGCTAAAATAACTTCCCCACCGACAGACCAGGCTAAAATAACTCCCTCACCGACAGACCAGGCTAAAATAACTCCCTCACCGACAGACCAGGCTAAAATAACTTCCCCACTGACAGACCAGGCTAAAATAACTTCCCCACTGACAGACCAGGCTAAAATAACTTCCCCACTGACAGACCAGGCTAAAATACCTTCCTCACCGACAGACCAGGCTAAAACACCTTCCTCACCGACAGACCAGGCTAAAATACCTTCCTCACCGACAGACCAGGCTAAAATACCTTCCCCACTGATAGACCAGTACAGGACAGCAGTGCTGAAAATAAGTTACAAACAATGCGAAAAAACAAACAAAATAGCACAGTTGGTTAAGAGCCTGTAAAACGGCAGCCTTCCCCTCCGGCGCCATTGTATACAAATGGCACCCCATTCCCTATATAGTGCACTACTTTTGACCAGAGTCCTATGGACCCTATTCCCTATGTAGCGCACTACTTTTGACCAGAGTCCTATGGACCCTGGTGGAAAGAAGTGCACTATAAAAGGGAACAGGGTGTCATTTGGGACGTATCCCAGGTCTGCTGGCAGGCTGACTGACAGGTTTACACCCTCACAACTCATTGTGATGTCCTGTGTGATTATGGTGTCTGCTGCTGCAGGTCTCAACCTTGGAAGGCTGAAACGGTCCATGTGTCTGGTTCCTTATCTGTGAGCCAGAGGCCTCAGAACATACCGGATGCCTCCCAAATGGCATCCTATACAGTGCACTACGTTTGTGCACTATAAAAGGGAACAGGGTGTCATTTGGTATGTTAAAAAAAAAAATATATATATATATATATATATATATATATATATATATATATATATATATATATATATATATATATTTTATAATAATTAAAATTTAAAAATATAAACAAAAAATAAATAAAATAATAATAAATAAAAAAAATAATTAAAAAAAACATTGTAAAGTGGTGATCCCACTGGCTATAAGGTGAATGCACCTATTTGTAAGTCGCTCTGGATAAGAGCGTCTGCTAAATGACGTAAATGTAAAAATGTGGGACGCAGGTACAGTAACCTTGACGAGGTAACTACAGCGATATTACTGTGACTGATAGGTACTGCAGTGTCGCCCAAGGGTGTCGGTGTCAGTGAAACAGTGTTTCTCAACCCAGTCCTCAGGGGACCACCGGCCATGTCACATCTATGATAATAATATGCCAACACTAGCACACCTGTTTCTACTTATAGATATGTACTAGATAGCTACAAGATTCAACTAAACCCCCTCTCCAGGACCCTTGCAGCTTCCACAATGGACAGATAAATATGTCATAGACCTATCACCATTTGGCGCGTTGCGCTGCCATAAGCGAAAGTAGGCTCCAGGAACCGTACCTTGTTGTAGTATCCGTAGGTGATGGCGTTGGGTTGGACTCCAGCCTTCTTCATCTCAAACAGAACT